GATATAAAACATGCATGATATATTGTTGGTCACTATTTTCATATGTTTGCTCCAATCAATGGCATAAAATGGAGACAGGCATTCCTGACTGCTCTGAGTTCCAGGAAGTTGATGTGTAGAGTAGTCTTCCAAGATGACCACCTGTCCTGAGTTGCGTGAGTGTTGAGATGTGCCCCCATCCCAACTGGGATGCATCTGTTATTATCACCATTAAAGACATTGAGCAAAGGGGAATTCTGTTCAAATACTGTGAGGGTCTTTTCACCACTTGATGGACTTCTTCATGACAGAAGGAACCGACAGTAGTTTGTTCAAGCTGTGCTTGCTTGGTGAATAAACAAGCCCCCCCTAAAGGCAGTGCAGGTGCAACCTCATGTGGCTTATTACAAAAGTAACACCTGCCATATGTCCCAATAATTGGAGACAGTTTTTGACTGATGTCTGGGAATTGATTTGGACAGTAGTGACTAAATTCGATAGGGTTGTAAACCTGTGAGTAGGAAGATAGGGTTTGGTCGCTACCGTATCAAGATAAGCTTCTATAAACTCCAATCTTTGCACCGGGTCAAGGGGGACATCGAAATAACAATGGCCACTCAGAAGGTCAGAACGAGGTCTCACTTTAGGAGCATCCCTTTTACTGCCAATTGTTGAGATATGGGAACATAAGGATTTCTTTTCTGAGAAGGTAAGCTGCTATCACTGACAGAACCATCAAAAACACTCTGTGAGCAGAAGACAGACCAAACAGAAGCAGTCTGTGTTGAAAGTAGTTTTGACACAGAGTAAAACATAGGAAATTTCTGTGGGAAGGGTGAACTGCTAGATGGAAATATGCATCTTGTAGGTCAAGAGCAGAGAACCAATTCGCTGGGTCCAATGATGGTATTATTGCTGCAAGTGTTACCATTTTGAATTGCTGTATCTTCATGAGCCAGTTTAGGAGCCTTAGATCTAGAATGGGTCTCTATCCACTGTTCTTTTCTGAAACCAGTAAGTACCTGGACTAAAACACCTTTCTGTGTGTTGTACAAGAACTAGTTCAATAGTACCTACGTTCAGGAAGAAGTCTATTTCCTGTTCTAGAAGATACTTGTGAGAGGGAAAATGCCTGAAGAGGGACAGAGGGAATTGAAGGGAGGAGGGAGAGAAGTAAAGCAGATGGAGTATCCTGTTGATATGATCTCCAAAACCCATTTGTCCACAGCAATATGCTCAAAAGCTTGTCTGGAGTGAGGAAGGCAGTTCCCAAAGCAGCGAAGGCACATGAACCATTGCATCTGGTAAGGAGTAAGGGAGAGAACTCAGAACATTGACTACTCCATCAAAATTTGTGTTTCGATGAAGGTTGAGAGTTCGATGCCTGTACAGCAGACAGACTCTTCTTCTGGAACATCTGCCTCATTCATTGGAGTTCATAAGGGCTCTAGAAGCAGGAGACAGGACAAGATTTCTGCATTGTCTGAGACTTACTAACTGTCCGTTTATGAGCAGCTGTGTAAATTCCTAGAGAAAGCAAAGTGGCCCTGGAATCTTTTAAAGTATGTACAGATTCGACGGTATTCTTCACAAACAATTTTAATCTGTTGAAGGGAAGGTCCTCAACTGTATTCTGGACCTCTCTTGGAAATCTTGAGAGTTGAAGCTAGGAGGCCTTTCTCATGACACCCACTGTAGAAACACAGCGAGCAGCTGTTTCAGGGGCATCCAGAGAGGCCTTCAGAGATATTCTGGCAAGAAGGTGACCCTTTGTAATGGACTGCCTGAAACTGGTCCCTCTGCCCTGGTGCTAAATGCTCAACAAACGAATTGAGTAGTAGCTGTGATTATATTTCAATAGTTGGTGATCCTAAACTGCAGAGTCACAGATGAATATGATCTGCAACAAAATAAAACAAGACACTTCTGATCTTTGCCGTATGGCATTGATTTAACACAGTGCTGCCTTCTACGTTCATTTATAGCCTCGATAACTAGGGAGGAGTTGGGAGAGAGATGAGGAAATAGAAATTCCGAGTCTTTAGATTGGACATAAAATTTCTTATCAGCCCTTTTACAGATGGGTAGAACTGTCACTGGGTTATACCAGATTACTTTTTGCAGGATCCAGCAGAGCCTCATTAATAGGTAGTAAAATTTGGGTAGATGACGTTGTATGCAGAATATCTAGCAGTTTATGTCGTGACGCCTTAATCTCCTCAAGTATTTGTAATGGGTCTGCTATGCTTTTAACAAGGTCCTGGAACTGTCTGAAAATCATCAGCCAGGGATGGTGGAGGAGGCATGACTGCTTCATCTGGGGATGAAGAAGAGATATTGGTTAGCAGGGTGATCTCTGTCTGTTCTCACCTCCTGCTCCTCCAAAGTCTCTTCTTGTGGGTCAGGCCTTCTAGAGGAAGAGGAATGCGGGGATGGGGAGGAATTTTCTACTTCTGTGAGCAATGAGTGATACTAAGGGTCCTAGAGAATTGTTGGCGGTATGCTGCTCATGGATCCAGTACAGCCATTGAGGGGGTCAATATGGAATAGGTGGGAGCACCCATGAGTGCCATCAGACCATCAGGATGGAGCTTGAGGGTGTCTTTCTCAAAGAGGTTCCATCTTCCTAGAAGTCTCCAGAAAAATATTTGTCTGATAGTGAGGAGTGGAGCCCTGAAGCAACATTTGAGAAGTCAATGAAAAATCCCCATTATCATCATCTTCAACATGACTTTGTAGAAGTGGAGCACTGGTAGAAAAAGATGGTGATGCCATCAGTACTAGGTGAATATCTGGAGACGTAGAGGTCTCTATCAAAGGGGTGTCAGGCATCTCACACTGTGACATCTCATGAAAATTTAACTCCTGTGGTACTGACCGAGGTGGCAGCCATGACTGTGGCAGAGGAACTAGACAATACTGCAGACTTTATGTGCTCCAAGGCGTGTGTCCACAAAATGACACTCTGATCTTCTGCAGTGCTGCAATGGCAGGTACGGAGAGCCTGGCTTATTCTATTGGTACTGACTTAGAAGAGGTAGTCTTCTTCTCCTTGTTGCCTCGATCCCCTGACAATGTTAATGAACTTCTGGAGCTGGAATCCTTACATTCTTTGGGGTTAGTGCTGCTTACAGTACCTGAGGACCCGCATCTTTGTGGGTACTGAGTCAGGAACTGGAGGAGGGGTGGGGGGTAGAGGGGAGATACCAAAGTAGCAGCCTCAATCTGCAACCACAGTTTCCTTGACATAGTTTCCCTACCTGGGAACCGAGCTCTGTTCTCTAATGACTTTTTGAGAGTATTCGAGTTTTCCTCTTAGAAGCACTAAGGGAAAGTTTTGTGGAAATGGTTTAAGAACTCTATTTGCTCAGAGACAGGTGTATGGCAGGGCAGGGGTGTCTCCGTGGCTTGTGTCAGAAGCCAAATGGAGGGAGCTGTTCATCATGAGGAGATGCAATTTAATCTCCCAGTTCTTTCTGGTTCCTGATTTTAACGCCAGACAAAAATTACACTTCCCCCAAAAGTCAGACTCCCCAAAGCATGCAAATGGATGCACTGGGAGTGGCCCCTGGCACGAAGGATAGACTCGTGGCACGAAAGGCAACATTTAAAACTGAGAGAGACAGGCATACCATTCTAGAAATCTAAATAAAGTTCCCCACATGAGAAAAAACCTGAAAGGACAATGGTCCTTACTACTTTTAACTATTATTAACCAACGCTACTACAACTAACTAAGCTAAGTGAAACCATGGGGGGAGAGAAACTACAGTGGAGGAAAGCTCAACTCAGACACACCTGAGGCTCCATCTCAGGCAAAATCATTGAGAAGGAACTGAGGGCAGTTCGCCCACACAGATGTATATACCCATGGTAAAGAGCACAAGGCTGAGCAGAGCATATGCGCAGGTTGAACAGGCACTGCTACCTAAAATCTCCAAATGCACAGGGCACCCCCACCCCCTCCAAAACGGAGCACCCATAGTGACACTACCTGAAGAAAAACAAAAAGGTAATAGATTACAATTATCAAGTCAGGAAGATATACCTAGAGGGGTACCCTCAGGATCAGTGTTAGAATTGATTTAATCATCTGAAAGAGGTATTAATCAGCATGCTAAAGAACTCCAGAGTTGATATTAAAATGAAAGGAGATGGGAACCCCAACAAGCCCAGAGAAATTAGAAACATACAGAAAACAAAATGAGATTCAACTTAGAAAAATTTAAGCAACCTGGAAAAAAAATAATCTGAAAACAATGATGCTCAAACAAAAGGAGAACCCTGGGAAGCAGTAATGCTGAAGAGAACTAAGGATGATAGTTAAAACAAATTTAATATGACTTTGCAGTATATATAGCTGCAAAAAGGCCAATGCATTTATGGATTGCACAGGCAAGTACATCAAGGAAAGGGTGGTAGTGGTCCTTCTCTACGTGACTCTAGTTAGATAAGACATCAGTCCAGTTCTGGGCAATACATTTTCAGAAAGATTCCGAAAAAGAATAACTCAAGCAACCAGGAGACTAAAAAACTGACTGATGAGGAAAGGTCTTAAGAGCTAAATATATATAGCTAGGGTAAGAGAAGGCAATAGGCAGGAGACCTAAATGGATATAAATCCATTATATTTAAAGACTGAACACTAGAAGTGGTGACATTATTTATGAAGATATAACTGGCAACTATAGTTATGAGTAATGGAATGAAAAGTAAAAATTTAGACTCCTATTGGGGTGCAGGGAAGCTTCCTGACTACAGAGTCTTCCAAGAGAAGTACTGGATACACCATTGCAAAGAACTAGAATGGACAAAGCACTAGAAAATGTTTTAATCAGGAATAACCCTTCATTGCCAGGGAATAGTATGGTGATCTAGGTCTTTTAAATCTGTAACTTTCATGATCCAGGTACAAGGATTAGTTATAAAGTGGTTAGATAAATGGTTGATGCAGATTTTCTAACACATCTATATTACAATCTCTAAAATTATGTAACACTGTTTTTTCCAAATATGTTTACCTTCATTTTCCCACTGTACTTTGGATCAGAAATTGTTTCAAAGGCTGCATCTTTGCTCAGCTGTACAAAATCTGGAAACTCGGAAAATACCTGGTTGCATATCCTTTTGATATGTTCTTCCTGTAAAAAAAAAAAAAAAAAAAAAGGCAGAAAATATGATCACCACAAACGAAACATGGAGTTCAGTATTAGAGATAATTTGGTCCAGCATTAATCTGTGAAAGAGTGAAATAGGCTAAAAGAGCACATTCTTGATGATGCTGGAATTAGTAGTAAATTTATAAAAGTGCTCAGTACAAAAGCATCTGACAACAGTAAGAAAAAAATTGAGGTTTTAGCTTAAAGGATAAGAGGCTACATGGTTAAATATGAGAATTCTAGTAACTAGAGTCTGCCCAAAACACAAGATAGTCCTCTCTCCCATATTAAGAAAAATAAAAGTGCATTGCCTCACTTGGAAAAATACCAATGGTGGACTTCGGCGTATATAAAAGAGAGCATTGCAAAATTTTCTTTCCCTAATGGAGAAGTTCCCAAACCTCTCAAGATTATGAGGATCATTAATTTTCTGATCTCAAGTACCACAATGGAAGATACGGCAGCAGACTGGCTCGCAAACCCTCTCCCCCCCCCTTTCTTTTTAGACTTTATTATTTGTTTAGTACAAACAAAGCTGGAGCTGGTCAAAACACAAATATCCTGTCCCAAAGAATTTAAAATCCAAAGGACAAACAAGAAGACACTGAGAAATACAGAGGGAAGATTAAGAAAGGTTTTTAAATCAGTATTACTACAAGTATAACTTTACTTCTTGCTGGCTCCAAAGAAGAGTTGATTCCTTAGGAACAATATCAGTAAGGAGAGGGCAAACAGATTGGGAGGTCGATTTCATGGGGGGGGGGGGTAGGGGGAAGCAATGGGCAGGAATGGGAGGAGATGACAACAGAGCATTAAGACTGATCCTGAGATACTGAGTTCAATGGGAGTGAGGGTGCTATGTAGCTTGCAGGGCCAGGCTCAAAAATACTGACTGATGGAACTAGAGCCCAAGTATCTTGGATTTTCTGGTTCGCTTACTGGCACTAATTGTCAACATTTTAAATCAGTCTTTTGTGTACAGATGTAATCAGACAGGTATCAACTGCTACACATACAGTAAATAATCATGGGAAATGAATTCACCATTAAATAATACAGCAATTCTAGCCTACTATATCATACCAGTAACTATTTCAAGCACTACAGCACACTGTAATTTCCATAAACCATTTGAACTCTTAATTTTTTGTCGTAACAAAGAACACTATTCTTCCAAAAAGAAAAGGAGTATTTGTGGCACCTTAGAGACTAACCAATTTATTTGAGCATGAGCTTTCGTGAGCTACAGCTCACTTCATCGGATGCAAGTGAGCTGTAGCTCACGAAAGCTCATGCTCAAATAAATTGGTTAGTCTCTAAGGTGCCACAAGTACTCCTTTTCTTTTTGCAAAGACAGACTAACACGGCTGTTACTCTGAAACCTATTCTTCCAAAGCACGCCAGACAGAAACAATATTTAAAGTGACATTTAGGCACTTACTATGGTGATAGGTATAAGTATAAAGTCCTGGACAGCGAGGTGTAACACTTTTCAAAGAGGGACCGCCTTCTTGAGGGGCCAGGATTAAGCCAGGAATTCTGCACTCTTATCCCCTTGAGGCCTCCAAATGAAGGTGATAACATCCCTTTCTTTTTTACTCATTTGCGGTCTTAGAGGTATATTGCAACACTTAAAAAAAAAAAAAAAGTTTCTATGCTGCCTCTGTCTTCACTTGAGGAAAGAAGTAAAGTGAATTCCAAGAAAATATCTGTGTGCCAACATCAGTTTAGATTCACAAATTCCCCCTTGCCATTCTAACAATTCCAGCTGACACTGTCTTCTCCTTGCCCCTACTTTAATAAAAGTATTTCTTCTTGTGCTGTTCAAAGCAATTCAGCTCTCTCAAAAGAACAATTCTTTTGGAAAGCAAATGCCCTAAAACATTTTCTATTTTTACAAAGAAGCCAACCCTGGAGAAATTCTTTTGATAAACAAATATGTTACAAGTAGTTACCTCTGACATTGTTTGAACACTAAAATGTCTACTTATCTACTGTTCCCCCAACATCACCAGAATTCAGTTTTTAAAAAATTACTCGTGACTAAATGAAAAATATTGCTACCGTTGAAAACTACTGAATAAGGGTTGTTCCTGCACTATAAAAGTCAATGGGAGTTTTGCCATTCGATTTTATGGGAGCAGGATCAGACACCAAGCACTAACCAAAATACTTCAATTCCTGCTAGCTAGACAAAAAGATGAGAGTAAATAAAGTTGAAAAGAAGTGGCCATCACAATTATAGCTAGCTGCTACAATAAGACCTTTTCACTAAAAAGTTTCTCCCTTTGTTTCAAGACTTTGCTCTTTAGGCAGACCCAAACCAACCTGATGTTTGCTGGTGTTCTCTGTCTGTAGGAGAGCAGCATGATTAGCAACCTTCCGAAGGATTGTCAGGTAACTGAAATACAGTGCCCTCATTGTTTCACCATGGGCATTTGTCTGTAGAAACAAAACAAAAAAAGCAATAATGCTTCCTAAAGGTACAAACAACCTAGAAAAATGTGACTATCCTACAATTATAGATATTCTAACCACATTTATTGGCAACTGGCAGAATCAGCGTTCTAGAACTCTAAGATTAGAACTACCATTTTCAGCAGAAAGTGTATTTGCGATTTCCAAGTATTTTTTAAAACCTCTTCTACATAGATTAATATGGGAACCTTATTGATTTTGTTAAAAATGCAGCATGACAGAGAATACTTACAATTTTCCTGCATTTTGTAACAAATAGCATTAACAGAAAAGATTTCTTCAGAGCCGACGCCAGGCATAGGCAAACTAAGCAATTGCTTAGGGCCCTGAGCAGCTCAAGGGGGCCCCTTATTAATTATTGGTATGTTTTGTGTGTGTGCGGTTCCAAAAATACTCCTGCTAGCACCGCCTCTGCTTCAAGACAACAATGTTGTTTATATTTGTTCTTACATATTACAGAACATGTAATTTATAGAAAGTTAGGGTAACCAAGATGCCATGTAACATGTCATATGAAAAACAGAAATGGAAATGTTACAAACAATTTAAAATCAAATTTAAATCACAGCTGTTTTAATGGCATCTTACACAACAACAGCTAATAGTTTTCTTTCTGAAAAGAAACTCAACAATATTTTAAATAGATAAAATAATAATAAAATTATAAAAATATAATAATATAATAATAAAAAATATATAATTAAAATGACTTTAAATGTTTATGCAAGGTTTTCTACTGCATCAGCAATGACATCAGATAACTGTGTTTTCCTGGTTATGGCTGACTGACTTTAAACATGTGAATATGCCAAAAATAACAGTCAGTGCATATCACTGAAGTCACTAGTTGACAAATAATAAAAATGACAGCTTTAGCACTTGCACTCCATTTCCAATATTATTCTTAAATGCCTACCATAACATTTTAACTAGTGCTCAAACATGTTTCCCCCTACAACCTTTCAAATTGCTAGATTTCATGGGTAACTTCAGGAAGTTATTCTATAGCAATCTATTTTACACTTAAGCATCCAAGATGTGGCCAAGGGCTTCCAGTAATTTCAGGTGTCATTAGCGAACTGAATGAAATGGAGGGTCACTTTTCTCTACAAAACATCATGAGACATAGAAGCATGGAAACAGCTAATGTTAAAATTAGTGAAAAACCAGCAGCACACCTTCATAACGTAAAATCTATTAATAAAATAAACAATCCAAAAGCTGCCTTACTGTAAAAAGCATTTCAACAAGAGATAAAACAGATCGGGTTATCACACTGAAGCAAAGCTGAAAAACATTTATAATGTACATGAGGAATAAATACAGTATATAAAAGTGTGTCATTGGCCAGTATTATGTGCTCATTTTACTATTATTGTAAAGTGTGTATTTGAATAATGATTTTCCATTACAGGACAACTTCTGCTGAGTAAATACAAATGTATGCTTATAATTTGAATTTATTGCTATTACTTAGAGCTGGAAGTGAGCTAATAGGTCCTTCAGTCCATCCCCCTATCCATGCAGGTTGTTCCCGACTGTACCTTTTCTAATGTTTTACCACAGATCTAAGAAGGCTATTCCACAACCTAATACAGCTCAAGTAAGGAAGTTTTTCTTGATATCCAATCTAAATTTTTCCATTCTTAAAATTTGAATCAGTTGGTTGAGAGAAGCTGTCCATAACGCTCTCAACCCAGACTGTAACAGCTCTTAAAATATGGGTGTCAAGGGCAGAGCAAACTGAGTGACCTGGAGACACAGATATGCCTAGACAATAAAGGGTGATAGGGTACATGGAAGAAAACGTGAGAGACTGCAGTAAGTTAAAAGTAACAGGGAAGTTGACAAAACAACAGAGTATTTAATGTAAAGATAGAATACATGGAAATTTAGAAAAAAAATGCATTGCTTTAAATTGGAGAAGTAAAGACTGGGAAGAATACCAACCAGCCAAAAAGAGTGCAGTTTATTATTTTGAAAATTATAAAAAAGAATACATTCAAAGCAGACAAAAGACAAGAAGTCTTCAGCAATTACTACTTCAGGGAACAGCAAGACCAGTGGAGCTTGAGGCAACTTCCATCACAGCACTTCCACCAATAGTTTACAGATGACCTGTGTCTCAATCAGTTTGATTTATTTTGTCTAGGTTTTTAAGTTAACAAGCTGCCTGAAGTAAAATGATTTTAAATGTAATCATCAGGACTCCCAGGACATTTTAAGGGACAAGGTTATGGGTTTGCTGAAGTAACCATCCAGGATGCAGTTCTTGAGTTTAAACTGACAAAAAGAATTCTTATCAAAGCCTCCTTCTGAACATTTTCTCCTTGCATGCAAAGTGCAATGGCTGTACTGAGTGGAAGATCACAAGGGGTCAGTAGGTACTGTTAAGTCCGAGTTAACTTGAAATTACACAGTTAAGTTAAACTATAACTAACTTTAGTTTCTTCCCCATGACCTCCAATTAACTGACACTATATTTATATTTATAACTGGAGTTTAATTGCATTTTTTTCTTAAAGTTCAGTCTTTCAATAGTTTTCCTGTATGTACAGTATATTTTCCTTGTTTTGTTCTTTAAATTGATTTCCCTGTTTTTCAAAACAAATTTTTATTGTTTAATAGATTTTGTTGCCAGTGTATTTATATACATTTACCTTTTGTTCAACTTTCCCTTGTGAACTATAACATACAGATTAAGACGCCCCTTCTTAGCAGAAATAATCATTTGTGAATAGTGTCTACCGCTATCTCTTACCCTAATTAAAGACAGAGAATGTGAGAATCTCAGCCACCAACATGTCATAACTATCAGCAAATATTGGCTCTTTAATGGCAATGACCAAATAATGTACCTTTCATCCCCCACCTTGGATTATTAAACAAATATAAAAAGGGATCAAAGAATTTCTATTCTGCCCTCAACTGCTACAAAAGTTGTGAGAGCAAAGGTGAGAGACAGCCTGTGTGTCTAGAGGAACAGTGGTTTTGGGGAATGCTCCACTCTGCAACTCCTCTTTTGGTGATCTATTAGGAACAAGACCTGCAAAATAGGTAGGGCCAGTCATTCCCTGAAGCATATTCCTTCACATTGTCCAAACCAGCAGGGTGGAAAGATGCAAGTTACTGTACATCCTGAAATCTAGACTGTGAAAATACTTACTTTGTAACAACAATTCTTCCTTTTACGGCCACTGCTACAACTACAGGGCTCCCGTGCTTGCAATACTAAGCTTACATCTTCTGTTGCCAACACAGCCTGATATACTTGTTTCTGGAACTCTGTCAGGGAACAGTATACCGTCTGCCAAGATAGAACCCCAAAATACAATTGTATGCAGCATACATGAAAAAACAACAAAGACCTCAATAAGAATATAACACAAAAATGCTAAAATACTAAAATTACAGGAAATGGAAAATAAACTGATAGATGTACAGGTAGTTAAAGGGTATTTTTCTGCTCCCAACAAAGAACTGGAGGCTGATGTGCTGGAAAAAAAGTGTGAAAATATGGTCAACAGGTAACTGTGGTAATTTTAATACAATTTTTTTTTTTACCAATTCTATTAGCAGTATTAAAATCAAACTACATCAATCATTCTGCAGTTTTACTTCCACTACATTTTCTTTAGGCTTTTTTTTTGGGGGGGGGGGGGGAGGGATGGGGGGTTATTGAGTGAGTGAGTGAAGGTTTAAAAGACCTAGCCATAAAGGTTCTTGCCCACTTAGTCAGAATGGTTTATTTGCCTTTTCCTTTCACCACCCTTTGGTACTAACTATTGTAGAACACTTCTACAGTCAGAGAGATAAAAAACAGTCAAATCTAAGAGACCTATTGATACTGAGAGTCACAGGAATGGGGCAGGGGAGGGATCTGTACAGTGGTGTGTCCAAAACTCTTATCCCTCCTCCCAAAGACCACAGGTGGCATCTCCATGACATCTTTGGTCTTAACCAGCAGGAGACAGAAAATCCCAAGATCACTTCTGAACTTAGGCCACCCACATAGCAGCAGCACCATGCTGTGCTATAATAATACAACAGTAACTTGAACGTATACTCACATTAACAAGAGAATGAAAAGACATAAAACCCGCTAGATTTAGAAAAGCACCTGACTGACGTTTGTGTTAATCTTTCCTTTAGAAGACACAGTTTGGATGACATTATTACAGGCTCTGTATGAAGGGCAAAACAAAATCTAGAAAAACAGCTGCAAGCTAATGTGTTTAATTTATTAAATGTATTTGTGCTTGCTGGCTAAATAAATTCTCATATTCATCAAAACGGCCTAGTCATGATGATTTAAAAAAGTATGAATTCTTAAATTATGTTTATGCCAGCACCAAAGAAACAGCCACAATTAGTCACAATTAACTTAAAAAAAATAAAAACAATTTTAAAATGAATACCATAAAAGGGGAGGATTGAAAGTAATTGGCTTTTAACAAGTCTTAATTTATATATTATCAGACTCCACCTCCTGCACACAGAAATGTGAAGCTGATATTAGCCATATAATTACAACTGTGCATATAAATTAAGCATCTGGATGTGTTAATGGTCAGTCAAATGTCTTGCTGGGCATTTCCATGCCCAAATAACTCAATCTGAACATACAGTCATAGTAATTAGGTGAACAAATGAAGTGTACTACTGCATGTGCATTTTTGCTCACAATCTGGACCTCTGAACTCTAGAAAAATCTGACCACAGAACCATGAACTACTAGATACACTATACAAAAAACACTACGATATATATAACAACAACCAAGATATGATACACTTATTAGTATTTTGTAAAAATGGCCACTCTTACTCTGTCTTCCTTTTTTGGCAACTGATCACTAATAAAAGCCTTAGTACGTCGCAGGAAGCAGCCAGACATTTTTCTTGCTAGCTTCTGCATGGCCTTTCGACCTGTTGCTAGCTCTCTCTTAGTTGCGGTGTGCCTCTGGCCATGCTCCACTGGATCAGAAAATTCCTTCTTGAAATGTGTTCTGCTACCCAAAAGTCCAGGTATAGCCCTAAAAGAAATAAAAGAACAGCAGTTATTTGCTGAACGCAAACGCAGAATATCCTCTTCCATTGACTAAAAGCATGTGAAATACTCCTGACTAACAGTGACAGATCTTAAATCAATCATCAGCAGTTAAATGAATAAATACGACTCATGTATATAATAGAAATGTATCATTCTACTTCCAGACAGTCAGCCTTTCCATGTACTCACTGTCAGCCTAAGTTTAGGCACCTAAATCCCCATACAGGCTCTTCAGTAATAATGACACAATTTTCAGAGGAGCTCAGCATCTGCACGTCCAATGGATGCTGACCGGTGTTATGAATCAGGTTACTATTATTTAGGAGCTTATTTTAAGGATTTAGGTGCCTAAAGTTTAGGCACCCAGGTTTTAAAATGTTGACTTTGATTCTTTCTGCTTTAATTCCATCAGGTTATAAAGATATCAAATAGTTTAATGAATCTGAATCTAAAGAAAACAACAGGAATTATTAAACCCATTAGGCATTTTCTGAGAAATACTCCCCATTGGGTAATCCATTCTAACACCATCTTAATGTTTTAGTTGCTTGGATTTTACATTAAGCTTTGCTACTAACTCATCCCCTTCCTGACATTTCACTTCAGCCCACAATTGCTTCATATTTAAGATTTTTAAAATTGTAAGTAATAAAAGATTATTTTGTTTGCACTTTCTATTCCCTCATCTGGTGGTCTTTTTTCCTCTTTAAAGTTCTTTGGGGTAGGGACTGTCCCTTCCTATATATTTGCACAACACCTAGCACATTTTGGGCACTACTGAAATATTAATAGAAATCATCAGGAGGACACACAACACTCTTATCTACATGAATGTGAGTTGTGCACTTTAGACAAAGCAGGGAGCAGAGTGCCTGAGACTGGGAGCTAAATAATTATTCTTATCCTGTTACATGTGGGGTGGAGTGGGGGCACCACAGGCCAGGGAAAGAAAGGAAGGACCACTGGAAAGAAGTTAGGAGGGGTAATAATAAGAGAAAAGAACTCCTCCCCTGCTTACCAGTACCCAAAAGAGTGAGGGGATGAGGACGCCCCCAAGTTTACCAGATACAAGCTATCTAAGACTACTCTAAAAGATGGGTTATTCCAACAGCTTGGGGGCAGTGCCCTGGTGGGAAACCACATGTACTTCCAGCAGAAACAAGACAAAAGTGTGATGGAATTCCTACTATAGCACAGTTTCTGGACACTGCTGAGCCCCACACCATTACCACCCTGTCACTTCTCTGGATAAGTCTTAATTAAAATATTAACTTCTTACTTACCAGTCCATGACACACCACAATTCTTTCATGTTGTTCTGAAGAATGGTTCCAGTAAGACCTATACGAACACTGCATTTTAAAGCCTTCATAGTTTGGGTTATTTGAGCCTTTGGATTCTTGATTCTGTGTGCTTCATCTACAATTACAGCTGACCATTCTAGGCTGTGGATCAACAGGAAATACAGTTTCATGTAGCTGTCGCTTGCATTATCTCACAAACATGTACTTAGAATTAGCTGTGCTTCCTCACAATTGTTGACTAAAAGCAAGTGACTTAAAAGAAATGCCATCAACTTAAAAAAAAATTCAAAGACAAGTCCACTTAATATTACTGTAAGTGAAAAAAACATATCAGCTATTTTTTCAGCTAACTTTATGTATTTTACATCCTGTTGTGTGTACTCAGTTTCACTATAATCAATTTGTTCAGATCCCTCACACAGATAAATGCAAGAGAAATAATGTTTCAGAAAACAGAAAAATTTGGTTTTACTATCACATACAATGGGACTTAGGTATAATATCTGAGATTTTTAAAATTCTCTTAAAAAAATCCTCAGATTTCAAGATGGAAGTGTGCCTTAAACTGTAGTTTAAGAGGAATCTGGCTCCCTTTCTTGAGCATTAAATCAACTCTGCAATGAAAAATATGCATCAGAAAACTGTACTAATCAAGTTTTTTAAGCTTGCATGAGGAGAATTTGATTACTTTCATCCATTATTCACCTGTAGTTTATATTTACTTTGTTATGACTAGAAATTAGGCTATTTCCAACACGGCAGCTAGCTGAGCCACCCATTATAGCTAGAGCCCTATCAAATTCACAGCCATGAAAATCATGTTACGACTGTGAAATCTGGTCTCCCTCTGTGAAATCTGGTCTTTTGTTTGTTTTTACCCTATACTATACAGATTTCACAGGCATTTCTTAAACTGGGGGTCCTGACCCAAAAGGGTGTTGGGGGGGGGGGTCACAAGGTTATTTTAGGGGGGTCGTGGTATTGTCACTCTTACTTCTGTGCTGCCTTCAGAGGCAACCTAGCCATGGGGCGCCCAGCTGCAGCAGTGCAGAAGTAAGGGTGGCAATACCATACCATTGCATCCTTACTTTTGTGCTGCTGCTGCTTCTGGCAGTGGCTCTGCCTTCAGAGCTGGGCTCCCAGCCAGCAGCCGCTGCTTTCCAGCTGCCCAGCCCTGAAGGCAGTGCTGCCGCCAGCAGCAGCACAGAAGTAAAGGTAGCAGTACCGCAACCCCCTCTACAATAGCCTTGCAACGCCCCACACACACACAAAATTCCTTTTTCGGTCAGGACCCCTACAATTATAACAGCATGAACTTTCAGATTTAAATAGCTGAATCATGACATTTATTACTTTTAAAATCCTATGTCCGTGAAATTGACCAAAATGGACCATGAATTTGGGAAGGACCTAACTATGGCATTGCTTTCGTAGGCTCCTGCCTCTCCTAAGGTTAGACTTATCTTAAAAAATTAATTTAGCGCACTGAAAAGGCTTTGTGGCCAAAAATATGAACTATTGCCAGTCATGCTATACCTATTCTGTGAAAGAGAAAGGCTGTCTGTCTCTAGGCTATTAATCCAGCAGCTTTTAATATCACTAACTCCACTTTTAAAAGATTTTTTTAAAAAGTTAATTAACAATTATAAAAAGGTAGCAGATTGAGAACACTGCTTACTGAAATTTTCCATTTTCCCCACACAAGAGGTACAGCATGGGTAGCAGCAACAGGAAAAACATCCTTATCAATGAGTCTGAAATATGACTTGAAGGGATCAACTGTAGGGATGACAGGATTGTTTATTCTTTTTGATATCTCTACTGCCAATGATATCGGGGGGTTGGAGGGATGTGGAAGGGAAAGCTGCATATCTAGCAGCACGGGAATTATGGGCAACTGTTCCAAAAGGAATCTGAACAATATCAGCAGCCATTGCATGGTAACAACTTTTGGTCACTATCAGTCTGGAACACAATAAACCCCATGACCTAAAGGTGAAATGATTCAGATCACATTGCTAATCCTGAGTCATCCAGCCCCCAGAGAGATTTATTTAAATTCAAATTTATAAAGCAGGTAGAAGATTAGTTCTGAAACAATGATATTTTGAGCAATTTCAAAATACATTAACTTCAAGTTTGATGTTCCTTTAATACAATCAAGCAGCTGCAAGTAGGAGCAGGCACATTTTAAAGTATCAAAGTTTTTTTTCCATTTAAAAAAAAATCTATTTTAGATTAATTTATTTTTAAGACTGAACCTTCATTCAGTACTATTGAAATACTCTAAATCAAGTAGCCCATGTCAGCCTCCTATATCTCAAAAATCTACTTTAAGAAAAGTCAGATACTCTCAAGAGAACATAAGAGATAAAACCATGGCTAGATGCAAAGTAGGAACAGGAATGAGCATATTTGAAAGTAACCAATTTCAACTAATCATTCCTTATGCTCACACATGAAGAGATCTGAGTATAGGGATTACTCCTCCCTCTCACACAGATTCTCACATCTCTGCTTCAAACCACAGTATTTTTAAACAAGACTAGGTTGACAGAGATAGCTATAGGGATCTCTTCAGCTGTGAGTCAATCTAAATTGTTAACAAGTCCTGAAGGTGAACCCAGCTGTTTAAACTACAAGGCCATGTCAAGCTGTCAGCAAGTTTGTACTGTGAGTTCTCTAGTATTTAAACAGTCAATACTGACTTGCTCAATTGATTGTACTCAAGGTTATGAACTATAGCAGAGACAAATTGGAAAGCAGGAAGATCTCATATTCTATAAAGTCCTTTGGGGTATTAAGAAACATAAATATTACAATATCTCTCTTACTTAAAGTTTCCTGAATTAAAGGACCAACACAACCTGGCAAAAAACACTGCACTGTGTCAACTATTTGCACTGTACACCAGAAGTTAATCTACTGTGAGGACTTGTTGGGGGATGTGTGTGTGTGTGTGGGGGAGGATATGGAGAGTTCTATTCTAAACTAAATAAATACATATTAAATCATTTCCTATCATTACTTTTCCATGTAGGCAACTGCTGTATTGCAACAAAAATATTATATGATCATGAATGGGAGGTGAGGCTGTCTGTGGGATCACAGATGAGAGTAGGTTGTCCATGAGACAATTAAAGCATGGTCCACTAACAGTGGATACTGACCTCTGTCATGCAACAGGGATGTGTAACCTAGATGCATATTCTACTACTAGTGATGACCCACAGCTTTGCCATTCCAGTTTATGGCAAGTATGGGGGGTGGGAGAGTATGTGCACTGTGCTGGGAAATCTTGTGTTGATTTATGAAAGTGGCGAATGAAGAGTGTTTGCTGCGGTGAGGAGCTATCTGTGTTTGGGGTTATTGTGTGTTCTGGGAGATTTGTGCTGAGTTGTGTCGAAGGGGTGTGCACTGGGAGACTGTGTTGAGCTGTATGGGTGGTGAATAACAGCTAGTTGAGTTCATTTGTGTGAGGGTATTGTGTTTGGATGTTTTGCATTGTGCAATCTGTAAAGTTAAAATGGCTGACAACTTAAAAAATACATGTTCCCCAAAGTTTGTGCACAGAGCTGCTCCCTGTTGGGAGGGACCACCACCTCTTTGTTACCCCACACAGCTGTCACTCCCACCTCCTCTGATCAAGTGTCACATTCCAACCACCACAGAACATTTGGACTCTAACATTCCACCTGGTTCTCATCAGGAATATGAGTGAGATTGGAGGAAATGTGTGTGTAGTGATGGGAGCTTTGTGCAGGTGGCAAGTGAGGGATGTGTCCGGCGGTGGGGGCTGTGTGTGTTTGGGGTTACTGTGTGGGCAGAGTTATGTTGGTGGTTTTGAAAAACTGCGGCAGTTGGGCCCAGTAATCAACCATCTGGACAGTCTCCCTCATACAACCAATAAAATTGTTGCATGCTAATTAGGTGTAGATATTAACTCTGATATGGCAATGGAATAGGACTCTCAGCCTGACTTTACATGGGTGTAATTCGTAAAGTCAAAATGGCTGAAAACTTAACAACTGGACTCAACAGACTGCAAATCACGCTGAAGATTCAACATTGTGATATTTTGAACAAAAAGAGCTCACAACCATGCTTGAAGCTGTTCCCATCACTTTCACATTGATTCTATATAAATCTTACACTTCAAAGTGACAATCCTGGAATCTTATTATACAAATGAAAAAATAAGTCTAGGGCAGGGATTCTCAGGGTATCAAGCCTCTGCCATCCCATGTATTTTAATGGTCATTTTGGGGGACAGAATGGGAGAAACAGAGACTAGTTTGCCTGACATTTCAACATTTAATACAGCTATCATTCAAATAACTACCTTCTTGGGGGTTACCCATTAGAAAGAGATTCTGTTTGGTAAGTTCACTGGATATAGATGTACTGTATCTCCTCATTCCAGCTCCCAGTAAGGAGTTAGATTCACAGGATTTAAATAGTTGTCAAAAAAATTTAAAACCAAAACACTGTAGACTGTTACAAAAAACAGTGTTTGCACAAATGAACATTAGAAAATGTTACATTACCTGTTAAGTTCATCCAAACATAGGCGAAGTGTCTCATATGTTGTTAGAGCAATCTCACACTTTCCCTGCTTGATTCGACTCAGTTCATTGTCCTTTCTACTGCCATGTAAAATAGCGACTCTGAAATAGCCCCAAGTGTCCAACTCATCCTTCCAGTTATAAAGCACAGAAAGAGGGGCCACTATTAGGAAAGTCTAAAAACAAACAGCTGTCATTATACTGCTGCAGAACCCATGTCAAAAACATTTTATCAAGAGCTGTCATGCAAAAATCAAAATAATGAGCATTGTTTTAGTATTTAAAAGTTTGAATTCTATTTAATCATTTTCCATGAATGATATTTATTATTTGCTTAGCGTTATATGAACTGAACAGGGAAGAGAAGAATTAGAGGACAAACTCATAAAAGTAAATCAATCTAAGTTTATTTACAGTGTGTGGTCATCAGAGGAAACATACAGTAAAATGGTCCCCAGAAGGAGTACTGCTTCAAAGCAATAATGGTACTTACTCAAGTTATACTGTAAAGCTTTACAAAAAAAAAAATCTACTTCATATGGACAGAGAGAGTAAAACTGATGAAATGCAAGAAATGTAGAAAAATTATGACTGTAGATTGTTAGAGAAAACACCAACCATCACTTTCTACTTCTATAGAATGTGCATCCATGGATCACAAAATGTTTTACAGATGGGAAAACAGAGACACAGGAGTTATTCAGTAACTTGTTTGATGTCACAAAGCTAGTTAATGGCATAGCCAAGAACAGAATACAGGTTTTTTCTCTTCCATCTACTTGCATATTCCATTAAACCACAGTCGTTCTTATGAATGGACACAAATGAAGAACCAAAAGACACCTGCAACTGAATTATGTAATTAGTCCATTAACTATATTTGCTACAACTAACCTCAAAAGGCCAATATTGATTCATATTTTATTTGTTTTTTAAAATGTATTTTAGGTATTAGAGATATTAACCTTTGCCGGAAAAATGCAGAACACTAAAATTGTTCGTGGTAGATACAGTTAGCTGATTTCAACCTTTTTACAACGTGTATTTTAGTTCAATGCATATATTCCCATACAGTAGATATTCTCTGGATTCAATTGTGAATTTTTGTTTAATAAAGTATTTCAAATTTACCTTTAAGACTCTCTACTGTTTTGTATTTAGTAAGCGTTTGACTTAATTGAAGAATAAGAACATTGTATTAGCATGTGTACATGGCTTTTATAAAAAGAAACATACGATTTGTACATGCCATTGAATAGGACACAAGACTGGGAAACAAGAGACTAGGTTCTATTCCTGGCTGTGATACCTTGGAAAGTCACTTCACTTCTGTGCCTCAATTTTCTCTCATCTGTACAATGGGAACAATACTAAATTAACCACAGTTGAGAACTGGTTTAAAAAACACAGATAAAAAGCACTACATATAAATATTAAGTATTATTAATACCACCATAATCTTTTATAATCCTGGTCCCATTACAAATGCTCACTCAAAGGATTGTGGGACCAACTCATGCGCAAGATATTGAAAAGCTTCCATTTAGCACATTACTTTGGGTAAAGGAACAAATCAGAACTTTACGAATAAAAGTATGTATCTTAGAATCCTATTTCAAGCAATAACACTTATTACTCGTTTACACCAACCAAAAGAGAAATAAGGATTACTTGTGTATTGTATACCAGTGACACTTTTGTCATCATTTTTCTCTCTTTTTCTTTTCAGGGAACTGAACCACAAAGGGAAGTTTCCACCTTGTCTAAACTACTGCATACAGTAGGTTTCCAAAACACTGATTTTTAGGAAATATACAAATTCATTGTGGCAAAAATTATCAAATATGAAGTAACACTAAAAGAGGCAATTCAAAAATAACTTTACTTAGCCCTGGTCTACACTACAAGGTTAGGTCGAATTTAGCCGTGTTAGGTCGATTTTATAAGCAATGCAGCTACACAACCAACCCTATTCTGTCGACCTAAAGGGCTCTTAAAATCGACTAATGTACTCCTCTCCAATGAGGGGGAGTAGCGCTAAAACTGACCTTCTCGGGTCGAATTTGGGGTAGTGCAGATGCAGCATTGTGCAATTCTATGGCATTGGCCTCAGGGTGCTATCCCAGAGTGCTCCAATGTGACCGCTCTGGACAGCGCTTTCAGCCCCGATGCACTAGCCAGGTACACAGGAAAAGCCCTGGGAACTTTTGAATTTCATTTCCTGTTTGTTCAGTGTGGCAAGCTCAGCAGCACAAGGGACCATGCAGTCCCAGAACTGCAAACAAGCTCCAGCATGGAGTGAATGGGAGACACTGGATCTGATTGCTGTATGGGGAGAAGAATCTGTGCAGGCAGAACTCCAATCAGAAAGAAGAAATGCGAATATATATATGCCAAAATCGAACAGGGCATGGTGGAGAGAGGATACACCAGGGACATACAGCAGTGCTGTGTGAAAGTTAAGGAGCTCAGGCAAGCCTACTACAAGATAAAGGAGGCAAAAAGTCGCTTTGGGTCAGAGCCCCATACATGCCACTTCTGTGATCAGCTGCATGCCATTCTAGGGGGGACCCTACCAGTACCCCACCACTGTCTATGGACACCTGCAAGGGGGGAGTCTCACGCAACACGGAGGAGGATTTTGTGGATGAGGAGGAGGAGGAGGAGGAGAATGCGCAGCAGGCAAGTGGAGAATCCGTTCTCCCCAGCAGCCAGGATCTTCTCATCACCCTGGAGCTAAGACCCTCCCAAGGCGGGTTCCCGGACACTGAAGGTGGAGACGGCACCTCTGGTGAGTGCACACTTGTAACTACACTACAGGGGTTAAAAGCAATTGTGTTTAATATTTGATTTGCCCTGAAGAATTGGGATGAATTCGCGGCCAGTACAGCTACTGGAAAAGTCTGTTAACATGTCTGGGGATGGAGTGGGAATCCCCCAGGGGCATCTCTATGAAGCTCTCCTGGAGGTACTCTGAAAGCCTTTGCAGAAGGTTTCTGTGCGGGGGCTGCCTTATTTCATCCTTCATGCTAGGACACTTTACCACGCCAAGCCAGTAGCAAGTAGTCTGGAATCACTGCAGCACAAAAGCATGGCAGCGAATGGTCCTGGATTTTGGTCGCATTCATGCAACATTCGGTCTTTATCTTTCTGTGTCAGCTTCAGGAGAGTGATATCATTCACGGTCACCTGGTTGAAATACAGGAATTTTTGTAAAGGAACAGTAAAAGGACCCCGTTCATGCTGGGCTGTTTGCACTTGGTTAAAAGGGATCGTCCAGAGAATAGCCACACAGTGGGGACAGGGGTGTGCTGCACATCCACCCCAAAACCACAGCCACTCCTTTTAAACAGCAAACCCAACCGGCATTGCTTACTATGGGAAAGGAGGGTGCTGGTTTGAAACCATTCCCACATGTTATGAAGGCGGAAAAAGCCAACCCCGCATACTCTTTGGCTTACTATGGCTGCCTGGAAACCAAATTCTGTTGCCCAGCTGTGTGTGATGTGTCACCATACCGGCAGGCACTCAATATAAAAGGCAAAATGTGACCTTGTACCTAAAGCGCAGGTGCTGTCTGCTGTCAATGGCTTGGTTCACTGTGAAAGAGACTCCCTTCTGTTCTCAGAAACGTATCTCCTTAAATTTTACTCTCCCTTTTTATCCCCCTTGCAGGTGCAAATGTTTCTATGCTCCCCATATCAAAACCCTCCATGAGGTTATCGCAGATTAGAAGGCAGAAAAAACCACACTCGCGATGACGTTTTCTGAGCTCGTGCAGTCCTCCCGCACTAATAGGCACAGCTGAATGCATGGAGGCATTCGGTGGCAGAGGCCAGGGAAGCATTCAGTGAGCGTGATCAGAACATGCAGGAGGCTATGCTGAGGCTAATGGGGGAGCAAATAGACATGATCAGGCATCTGGTGGAGCTGCAGGAAAGGCAACAAGAGCACAGACCGCCGCTGCATCCATTGTATAACCACCTGCCCTCCTCGCCAAGTTCTGTATCTTCCTTACCCAGACGCCCAAGAACGCAGAGTGGGGAGGATCCGGGCATCCAACCACTCCACTCCAAAGGATGGCCCAAGCAACAGAAGGCTGTCATTCAAACAGCTTTGATTTGTAGTGTGGATACAATAAGCAACGTGGCCTTGTCCTTCCCTCCTCCCCCACCCCACCAGGACTACCTTGTCAGTGATCTCTCTCTCTCTTTTTTTTTTATAAATAAAGAATACATGGATTCAAAACAATAGGGACTTTATTTCCTTTGCCAGTTGTGGTCGACGGGGGAAGGGGAACTGGCTTCCAGGGAAGTAAATTCAACAAAGGGGGTGGTTTTGCATCAAGGAGAAACACACACAACTGTCACACCATAGCCTGGCCAGTCATGAAACTGTTTTTCAAAGCCTCTCTGATGCGCAGTGCTCTTAGAATCGCCCTGATGTCTGGCTGTTCAAAATTGGCCGCCAGACAATTTGCCTCAACCTCCCACCCCGCCAAAAACATCTCCCCCTTACTGTCACAGATATTATGGAGCACACAGCAATAACAATGGGAACATTGGTTGCACTGAGGTCTAACCTAGTCAGCAAACAGCACCAGCGAGCTTTTCAACGTCCAAAGGCACATTCTACCACCATTCTGCACTTGCTCAGCCTATAGTTGAACTGCTCTTTACTACTGTCCAGGCTGCCTGTGTACGGCTTCATGAGCCATGGGAGCAAGGGGTAGGCTGGCTCCCCAAGGATAACTATTGGCATTTCAACATCCCCAACAGTAATTTTCTGGTCTGGGAAGTAAGTCCCTTCTTGCACCTGTTCGAAGAGCCCGGAGTTCCTAAAGATGAGAGCGTCATGCACCTTTCCCAGCCATTTCATGTTGATGTCGGTGAAATGTCCCTTGTGATCCACCAGTGCTTGCAGCACCATTGAGAAGTACCCCTTGCGGTTTATGTACTGGTTGGCAAGGTGGTCCAGTGCCAAGATAGGGATATGCGTTCCGTCTATCGCCCCACCACAGGTAGGGAACCCCACTGCAGCAAAGCCATCCACTATGACCTGCACATTTCCCAGAGTCACTACCCTTGCTAGCAGAAGGTCACTGATTGCCTTGGCTACTTGGATCACAGCAGCCCCCACGGTAGATTTGCCCACACCGAATCGATTCTCGACTGACCGGTAGCAGTCAGGCTTTGCAAGCTTCCACGGAGCTATCGCCACTCGGTTCTTAACTGTCAGGGCAGGTTTCATTTTGATATTCCTGCGCTTCAGAGCCGGGGGAAAGCAACTCACAAAGTTCCATGAAGGTGGCCTTACACATGCGAAAGTTTTGCAGCCACTGGGAATCAACCCATACCTGCAATATTATGTGGTCCCACCAGTCTGTTCTTGTTTGCCGGGCCCAGAATCAGAGTTCTACTGTATCAACCTGCCCCACTGCTGCCATGATGTCCCAATTGCCACATCCCATGCTTTCAGGAACATCTGTGTCCATGTCCTCCTCACAATCATCCTTGTGCTGGCATTTCCCAGCCAGGTTCTGCACATACTGCAGGATAATATGTGAGGTGTTTACAATGCTCACAACAGCAGCGCTGAGCTGAGCAGGCTCCATGCCTGCCGTGCTATGGTGTCTGCACGCTAACCCAGGAAAAAAGGTGCGAAACGATTCTTTGCCGTTCCTTTCAAGAAGGGAGGGAGGGGAGACTGACGACATGTACACAAAACCACCCGTGACAATGTTTTTGCCCCATCAGGCATTGGGAGCTTAACCCAGAATTCCAGTGGGCAGCAGGGACTGTGGGATAGCTACCCACAGTGCACCACCCTGTGAGTCGATGCTAGCCACAGTATTCAGGATGCACTCCGCTGACCTACCGCGCTTAGTGGGGACATACACAATCAACCGTATTAAATCGTTTTCTAAAGATCGACTTTTATAAAATCGACCTAATTTCGTAGTGTAGACATACCCTTAGTTGAACATCTCTTCAGCTATATCATGGACAGGTGTAACTTGTAATATTAGTTATGTGTCTTAGAAGTTCTCTTTCTACAGACATATTCCACTCTCTCAACTCATGAACTGTCAAACTGAAATTATTATCCATATAATAATTTGGATTGGCTACTCATTATGTTGGTTCCGTACACATTGATACACATAAAATATCAAAAGACACCTGCTACAGAATAATATATAAATTAGCATTATAAGTGCCATTACTTTAAAACAGTGGCAAACTTGCTGGTGCAGTCTTACAACATGAGTCCCATAAAATCAACTATATTAAGTTGCAGCTTATTTAGCCCTGAAAAGAAGACGGATCCACAAACCAACCATTAAAAATATTTAAGTGATAAGTATTTAAATAAAAGGTTTAATGGTTTAAGATGGTTCCTGCAACTCAATCACCTCAATCAAATGAAAATCAGCTAGGTCTTTCAATGTAGGCATATGAAGGTGTGTCTTACATTTAAAATAAACTTTTAGATAATTTATCCATTTGCTAGCATTATAACAGATTATACAGGAAATCATATAGCCCCAATTCTAAAATCATCATGTGTCTACCATTCAACATTTTATAGCTTATAGAAACTTCACAGATACAATGTAATTTTGAACCACCAAAAGACCTATAAACTTGTAACAGTCATTATAAAGGGAACCAATAGCTATCCCTATGTTTAGGTTGCCTAGCTCTTTCTGTTATAAAAGATCCTTCCAATCTTTCTTGAGACATGCTAAAACCTCCATCATTTGTAGCAGGATTTTGAAATTCATCAGAGGGAAAGCCCTTAGGCTGGAGAAATACTTTTTCTTTGTCTCATGAAATTACACTCGGTTCTGCAGATATAAACCATTTTCCTTTTCTTGCTTCCATTGTTCATAGGTCTTAACTACATGATCACATGTAGTTTTCCATAGGACACCTGACTCATTCAGTGCACAGAAAGGACATACATGGAAGAGTTAAGGTTAGACTAGCATTTCCTAACTTTCAAGTGCTTGACTTTGCAACTTAAATAATGTTTTTTTAAGTACACAATATACGATGTATTAAAGCATAACATTTAATTTTCCTTTTACGGACAATTGCTTCACTACCTACTTAGACCATTAGATTCATCCTGCTGAATTTTCCCACTGAATTTTCACATTTTGCATAGTTAAATAAATACTAGACCTACATATTGCATTGTCTCGGTTTTAAAAAAAACGGGAGGTTGACTTGCATTATCAAAAATCCATGAACATCTGTATTTACACATGCAAACTATATAATACCCAAAACCTGGTTTATGCAAACATATTTTTTGCAGTGCAAGTAAGTTTTTATTAAAAAAAACAGCATCAACTTTTATGTTATCAAAAATAAGTGTTTTATGTTATCAAAGAAAAAATCTATATCAATTAAAATTTTTACCTTTTTGGGGATATATGTTGGTTCTTTTTTCATGGTCCTCAATAAAAATTCTGGCATATTGTTTTCAATATCTTCACGTGTTCCCTTTTTGTGTAGTACTGCAGCCAGAAACGAAATGACCTAGAGAAAGAATGCAATTTACAGTGAATATGCAGAAAATGCAACAAAATAGGAATATGTCCTTCAGACAACAGACATTCAGAGCACGATCCTGGAAGTGCTAAGCATCCTCAGTGTTTGTTGACTTCATCCTTGAAATATGACTTCGACTCCCCTTTTTCTGGAGAATCATCTACCCTTGGCCAGATGGTAAAAAAAGGTTTACAGGGCTAGAATGTTTGCTAATGGATGAAGAAAAAAAACAGATCCCTGAAAAATACAGAAGATGTAGTGCACGAGGATAGGGAGAAACGATGGAAGGGGCATGCCTGGGAACTTTCCAAAGAAAGGAGGAAATAGGGTCCTTTAACGGGAAAACAGAAGCAGCAAAGATGTGGTTAGTCCACCTGAAACTTCAGTCCAAAGTTTCCTCTGGGGAAGGGAAAGGAAGGGTTTTAAACTGATGGTTGCTCAATCCTATTAATATGTATTTCTTATGTATTTCATAGATAAGGCCAGAAGAGACCACTATGATCTGCTAGTCTGACCTCCTGTATACACAGGCCACAGGACTTTCCTGAATTAATTACCACTTAAACTAGAGCATGTCTTTTAGAAAAGCATTCAATCTTGATTAAAAAATTGCCAGTGACAAAGAATCCATCACAACTTGATAAATTGTTCCAGTGGTTAACTACTCTCAATGTTAAAAATGTGCACCTTATTTCCAGCCTACTTTTATCTAGCTTCAACTTCCAGCCATTTGATCTTGTTATACCTTTCTCTGCTAGAGTGAAGAACACAATATCAAATTTTGGGGCCCCAGGTAAGTACTTATACACTACAATCAAATCACCCCTTAACCTTCTCTTTGTTAAACTGAATAGACTGACACAAGGAGCTCAATCACTATAACGGCATATTTTCAAATCTTTTAATCTAGCAGTTTTCAACCTTTTTTTCATTTCCAGATCTCTAAAAAATTTTGAATGGAGGTGTGGACCCCTCTGGAAATCTTAGAGATAGTCTGCGGACCCCCGGGGCCATGGACCACAGGTTGAAAACCACTGTTTATGCTAACAACCACCTTTCGCGGACCGCTTAGGCATAGACCATTGATCCCCAGAGGTCCACAGACCACAGATTAGGAACCACTTTGATCATTCCTGTGGCTCTTCTCTGAGCCCTCTCCAATTTAGCATCATCCCTCTTGAATTGTGAACATCTGAATTGGACATAGCATTCCAGTAGCAGTTGCACTAGTGCCAAATACAACGGTAATATAACCTGCCTACACCTACTTGATATTTCCTTGTTCATGCATCCAACGATCATATTAGTCCTTTGGGCCAGCATTGCACTGGCAGCTCACATTCAACTGACTATCCAAAATGGCCCCAAAGTCTTTTTCAGAGTCACTGCTTCCCACGATAGAGTCCTTGCTCCTCTGATTCTCTGAGGCTAGCAACAGGATTAGCTTTCTCCATTGGATTCAGGGCCTGAAGTACAGCAAGGTCACCTTGTTAAGCCCCAGTTGCAAAGTATTCTCTGCTGACTTCAGCTTATCTGTCAGCTTGGAATGTGGGTGGCTTGAGGTAATATGGTACATACACTGCAACATTCTATAGTACGCTAGGGGCTCATAGTTTGAGCTACACTTCAGTGGTCATCCAGAACAAACAGAACGCAAAAAGCACAGCTATTGACAGACACAGTTTGGCTACAAGAGTCACATTTTTAAAAAAAGAAAAGGAGTACTTGTGGCACCTTAGAGACTAACAAATTTCGTGAAAGCTTATGCTCAAATAAATTTGTTAGTGTCTAAGGTGCCACAAGTACTCCTTTTCTTTTTGCGAATACGGACTAACACAGCTGCTACTCTGAAACCTGACATTTTTAAAAACCACCCGGGTATGGTGTCCCAGGGACTATGCAGCAGTAAGAAGCAACTGTTCTGCCACTGCAGTGCTCATCTTTTAGAAGTTCAGCAGTTCCTCTATTGCTCACGGCAGCAGCCAGCTCCCATCCCTTCCCTCTGCAGCTGCCTCACAGCTGTTCATAGCAGGACAGAGCTAAAGCTGTCAGCACCACTGAGAGAAGGAGGTAGCCAACAGGGAATGGAGGAGGGAGACAGCCAACAAGGAATTCTGAACTGCGAGGACAAAAACCTGCAAAGGATAGAGATGGGTGGGGCAGAAGAGGGGGAAGCCACCATGTGGGGCAGGAGAATGGAAAGCTGCCATAGGGGCCAGAGGAGGCAACAGAATTTTAGGCACAATTCTTCATATCAGGGGTAAGGCAGTTCTGGAAGTTTGTATGCATATCAGTGAATTTTAATAAGAAGTTTTTGGTGGCTGTGGACTTTTTTTTTTTTCTCCTTTCAAGCATAAACTGAAATTCCCCAGAAAATAATAACAACCTCTAGTGGCTTCCAGACTCTTCATTTATTTGAAGAATTATTCCCATCAAACTTTCACATTTTGGCAACTATGGCAAAGGCCTGAAAAAGAACAATCTGCCAGAGAAATCTGCTGCTCCTTCAACTGAAGCAGGAAGCAAACTGGAGAATAGACAGCATAAGGAGGGGGAACTGAAGCCAAAAACATTTCACTTTTGTCTGAGACACCTCATAACAGATAGATAGGGGAGACACAACCTCGAGAAACAATATAGTTTGAGCTCCGTAAAATAAACATATATAAATTATTTTGTAAATCCATCCTGCTACAACAGACATGGCCATTTCTCAGAACGTTCTGTAATAACTATTTTACAGCACAACTACTTAGGTGGTCACAAGTTTAAGGAAATAATTAGGAAAAAATAAAGACTTCAAACTTTATTTGCTCTTCAGGCCTTTAACTTCATTTTTAGCCTCTTTTCAAGGTGTGCTGGAAAAGGAAGAGAGATCTTGCTACTCACCACTATCCACCAGCACCACCCCTGCTTCCATAAAAAAAAAAATCAGTAAGTAAAATTACTTCTTCATACCTGAGGACACCACTAAGATAAGTTAAAACTAGGGTTGTCTATTAATCACAGTTAACTCACACGATTAATTAAAAAAATTGTGATTAATCGCAGTTTCAATCACACTGCTAAACAGAATACCAATTGAAATTTATTAAATATTTTGGATGTTTTTCTACATTTTCAAATATATGGATTTCAATTACAACACAGAATACAAAGTGTACAGTGCTCACTTTATATTATTTTTTATTACAAATATTTGCACTGTAAAAATGATAAAAGAAATAGTATTTTTCAATTCACATCACACAAGTACTGTAGTGCAATCATGAAAGTACAACTTACAAATGTAGATTTTTTTTTTTTTGTTATATAACTGCACTTAAAAACAAAACAATGTAACTTCAGAGCCTATAAGTCCACGCAATCCTACTTCTCGTTCAGCCTATCGCTCAGACAAACAAGTCTGTTTACATTTATGGGAGATAATTTCACCTGAAAGTGAGAACTGGTGTTCACATGGCACTGTTGTAGCCGGTGTTGCAAGGTATTTACGTGCCAGATTTGCTAAACATTCATATGCCCCTTCATGCTTCAGCCACCATTCCAAAAGACATGCTTTCATGCTGATAATGCTCATTAAAAAAATAATGCACTAATTAAATTCATTACTGAACTCCTTGGGGAGAAATTGTATGTCTCCTGCTCTGTTTTACCCATATTCTGCCATATATTTCATGTTATAGCAGTACTGCATGATGACACAGCACATGTCGTCCGTTTTAAGAACACTTTCACTGCAGATTTGACAAAACATAAAGAAGGTACCGATGTGAGATTTCTAAAGATAGCTACTGCACTCAACCCAAGGGTTAAGAATCTTCCAAACTCTGATAGGGACAAAGTGTGAAGCATGCATTCAGAAGTCTTAAAAGAGCAACACTCTGATGCGGAAGCTACAGAACACAAACCACCAAAAAAAAAAAATCAACCTTCTGCTGGTGGCATCGGACTCCGATGATGAAAATGAACGTGCATCAGGCCACACTGGTTTGGATCATTATCGAGCAGAACCTGTCATCAACATGGACGCATGTCCTCTGGAAAGGTGGTTGAAGCATAAAGGGACATATGAATGTTTAGCGCATCTGGCACGCAAATATCTTGCGACGCCAGCTACAACAGTGCCCTGTGAATGCCTATTCTCACTTTCAGATGACATTGTAAACAAGAAGCGGGCAGCATTATCGCCTGCAAATGTAAACAAACTTGTTTGTCTGAGCAACTGGTTGAACAAGAAGTAGGACTGAGTAAACTTATAGGCTCAAGTTTTACATTGTTTTATTTTTGAGTGCAGTTCTTTTTGTCAATAAGTCTACATTTGTAAGTTCAGCTTTCACCATAAATAGATTTCACCTCATACAAGTACTGTAGTGCATTGAAAAATACTATTTCTTGTGTTTTTTACAGTCAAATATTTGTAATAAAAATATAAAATTAGCACTGTACATTTTGTAATCTGTGTTGAAATTGAAATCAATATATTTGAAAATGTAGAAATAAAAAAAAATTTAAATAAATGGTATTCTATTATTGTTTAACAGCATGATTAACTTTTTAAATCTCTTGATAGCCCTAGTTAAAACAATGTTCTTTTAACATTAAATGGACAAATGTAAGGAAATTTAAAATTAAGCCTGCACTTTGCCCATAAGCCACCCCACTGTGACTATGGTGTAACAGAAGGTAATTCTGCATGCCACATGGATTGAGGAAGTGGCTGCTTGAAATATGAATTTTTTTTAAAGTTTACATCAGACACACCAGCCCCATGTAGGATAATATGTTTGGGGAAGGTGAAGGAGGAGTTTAAACAGTAATTCTGAAATTCAAGACTTCATCAGGTTTAAACATTACACTCCTAAAACCAAAACCTGCAAACTGCTGCACATGGGCAGACCTCCATTCCCATGGAGTCCCACTGACTTCAACAGGGATCCGCCCAGAGCCCCATTGACTTCTGTGAAGATCTACAGAAGAGCAGAGGTACACCTATTCTGAGTAGTTTGCAGGACTGGAGCTTTAATATGCTAATTTAACCTCATGCAGTGCCTCCTTCATGTTCTTGTGGTATTAAAAACCAACAGTATTTTCCTAGAGTTAATAAAATACTCCATATTCAAACTCTGACTTTGAAAATAAAACTGAGCCCAACTGATTTAAATGAAATTTAGTTGAGAAATGAATTGTCATCTTGAGAATTTGTATGCAATGTTACAACTGAAAATGAGATTTTAGGCTGAATTACACACTTTTTGAAAAGGGAAGTTTAGAAAATGTCAGGAGTTTCTAAGCTACTGCAGCACTGTAGGGGGTTGCTAAAATAAATTGTATTGAATAGAAGTTTAACAAATCATTTACAGAAACCAAGTTATTCATTATGGAACAAAGTTTAAATTAAGCCTCAAAGAAATCCCAAAAGAATAAAATCAACCAGAATAAGTGTTCCAAACTACAATCTAATCTCTGAATCGGTCATAGGATAGAATGGTATTTCATCCCTGAAATGACAGACCAAATTATGATTCTGGGAAGTGCTTTTTTTTACAGGCATCTTTCCCCATGCTGACAATGAAACATTTACAGGCTCTTTCCTTATACGCTGTCAGTTAGCAATAGATACTATATACCAGGGTCTAGGAAACAGTGCAATAACATTTCCAACTGGCCAATGTGAAGGGGAAAAGGGAAATCAGACTTGTTTATAAAACATTTGCACGAGTGCTTTTGAACATCTCCTCATTATAATAAAAAAAGTCTTCAGAAGTGGAAAAAAAATCTCTCACTGTGTGCATTAGTATTTCCTAAAGGCATCCCAGCCATCTTCCAGAATCACACTGTAATTTGAGCCAGGGATGGGAAGTTCAGCATGTAAACAAGCATGAGGAGGAGGAGATTTTTACAGCACTGTAAATTAGGTTTTCTGATATGTGTTACGTGGTTAATTAAAGTGACTGAATATACATAATACTTGTCTGAAAACAGTAATGTCTTCTACACAAATAAGTGAGACTCCTGCCTCTTTTGTACTTTCATATGCACTGCATAGCCCTTCCTGCAGCTCAAAGTGCAGAGTACAAAGACTGACTTTTTGGGGAGGGGAATATATAAGATACTCTTTTAATGATGCATTCTTCTTCAAAGTTGGTGTATCAGTTAGAAAGTTTATCACATTCCAATTCCAAACAACCACATAAAAATCAGTTGTTGCAACATGCTAAGCTTGCTTGTCTCCCGTCTACCCCTTCATAATAATTAACTATTCCATACAGTTATACAGCTCAGCAAGCACACCACTCACTATCACCCAGCATCATCTATGTGTTCCATTCTTTCAGGCAAACTGCTTGATATTCAAACTTCTAGGAATCCTGCTCTCTAAAATAGTCTATGTTTGTATATCCAAAGGGATATTCTAGCACTTTATATGCAGAAGTAAAATTTTAAATTCAGCTTGATGAAAGTATTTTTCATTATAATTATCAATGACATTGCACTTTTAGAATTAGTTTCATTGTTTGGATGGTATTATAGAGCATTAGCTAAACAGGTTGATCAAGGTTAAGAAAAAAGTTTAAGAACTTTTTAGTTTATATTTTAAAAGTAAACACAATAAATAATATAGTGAACATGTGTTATTACTTTGTATTCCTTCTCCTTTGAGAGGGATTTGTAGAGTGGGCAGAATGTCAAAGAATGTTACCAACATAATGTTGACACAAGTCAACTGAAATATGATACATTGCAGAAACCCAAAATGGTTATTTAAATATTAGTGGTATTGAAACTGACTGCCAAATATCCTTGGATATAAGTTTTTTATTAGATTGTATGAGATACTTGCAGTTTAGAATACAAAAATACTTCTACATCTACTGTATTTGAGTGCATCTGATTAGTTCCTTTTGCTCTCAACCTCATGCTAACAATAAACCCAGGCACAACCAGGTGCAGCATTATGCAAACACAAGCAGTTCAGTTTTATTCAAACTGAGAATGTTACAGCACTAAGAGGAAGACGCACATTGTGTGGTACACCTATAAATACTCCCCCTAGAGAGACACTTTGCCAAAAGTACACTTAGTTTATTCTCCCTTTTTAAAGAGAAAAGGGTTATGATGTTACAGTGTGAGACAATGCTAAAGTGAGTAAAGAAAATTCTCAGTTAACGTTCCCAGAAGTGGGGGTGGGGAGAATTTTACACTGGAGTAGATGGATCAGTGGGGCTCTGGAAGGAATTAGACAATGGAGCAGTCCGTTGGGGGAAAAGGGGGGAGAGAGAAGAGGGCATCATATATTAGATACTTTAGGAATCAACCCGCTAACTAAATAAAAGGCGTGGAGGGGTAAGAACCTCCCTCCAGATTAAAAATGTCCTAATTTTGACTGAATCATTCAACCCTGATGATCCAAAACAGATAAGAAAAAATGCTACTATATACTGTATCTTTTGCATTAACATTACCTGTCATCTTTACTTATAGGAATAGTAGCCTAAATCAAACACTTACATTTCTGACTGGAAGACAACAATGGAATGAAATATCTTGGATTTTACAATATAAATCTGGCTAGGGTCTCCAAAGTTTGGAGTATACTTGAAGTACTTTTCAAGAGCAGCACAAAACTGTTGCTGTCTAGACAATAAATGAAAAACAACTTCATCCACTCTGTGCATGTTAAAAGTGTAAAGCCCCATTTATAATCATTGTTATGATGCACAGAGAGTAATTCTCAAAATATATGAAATACAAAGACAAACACTGGGTCTCTAGCTAGATATACAATTATAACTTCTTAAATAGGTGCCTTTTAAAAATCATTAACCCTTAAATGTAATCTATTTCATAAAGCATAGTCATATCTGAACCAATAGTTTAAGATGACAAAATACCTGTATTGTTTTTCCAAGTCCCATGTCATCTCCAAGAATACATCCTCTTTTACGAGCATAGTGTCCATAGAGAAACTGAACCCCGTCCCTTTGATAATCACGCAGATACCTATTAATTGTATAAGGGATACAGTCCCCATCTCCAGATAACTCAAAAGCAACAGCAGGAGATGGAAGCCTTTGGTCAGGGAAATAAGGCTTTTCCAAATCTTCATCATCAAATATTAAGCTATTCCGGGGATCTCTGGCTTTACAGAGTTTCGTTATTAATATGTTCTTTTCTTCAGACCCCAAAAATGATACAATTGCAAATGATTTCCCATTCTTGTCTGTTTCAACTGACTTTATTGTGGCTTCACAAAGTTTCCCACTTTCAGGAGATGGGGCAAGACACTTCTCTCCAGCATGCCACCTGTCTAAAAACAAAAACACCCAAAAAAAGATGAGGTTGCAAACTATGTGAAAAAAGTGCTATACTTATTACGCTTTTGTTAACACTGTTCACACTATTTTATAAACACTGTTCTGAGAAAATAAATATAAATAAGGCCCTTCATTTTTGTTTTTTATTTATATATGTTTCTTGGAAATTTATCCTGTTCTCTCTAAAAATTTTACAAATGGGAGAAAATCTGGAAAAAACAAAAACAAAGGACAGCAAGTGCTAGGGAGGGATGCCCAGTACTCATGGGGACGGTACTCACCATGTAGCGCTTGAGGAAACCTTCCATGCCCTACAGTGCTCAGGAGGTCTTGGCTGCCAGGACCTTACTCCCTACCCTCTCTTTCTGTGCCCCTGACACAGAGGCAGCCAAGGGAGTGCTGAAGAGGTGGTCAGCAGAAGGGCAAAAGGCTGCACTCCATGAATACTGGCCTCCCTGCCAGACAGAATGCCCTCCTGACCCCGCTGGCCCTTCGGCATGGCCCCCTCTGCTTTTCTTGCACAGACTCTGTTTGGCAGGGGAAGTGGATGGGGCTCTGTGCCCTGCAGCTGGCTGCTACAGCTGCAAGGTGGGGGAGCAAGAAGGGCAGGAAGCCTGGCCCCAACAGCCAAGACTACCGATACAGAGTTCCCCCTGCTTCCGATGGCGGACACTGTCCCCTTCTGATCCCAGCCCTTCAACATGGCCCCATCCACTCTCACACTGAAGGAGAGGGCTCTGTCTGGCAGGGGCCAGTATTCACGGGGTGCAGTGTTCTGCTCCCTGCAGGCCTGTAACTGCAGTGGTCGGGCAGTCTCAGTTGCTGGGAGCCAGCTCCCTGCTCATCTCACTCCCCCACAGCACAGAGGAGGCAGATTGGTGCCATGCTGAAGGACCAGATCAGGAGTGGATAAGAAGCCTACACCACATGAGTACTGACACCCTTGCCAAAGAAAGCATCCTCCTGACCCCACCTGCCGTTCAGCGCAGCCTTGGCCACTTGCCCTGTGAAAAATTCCCAAGTCCCAAAAAAGCCAAAATTCAGGTGAGAACATGAGAACCCCCTAACTCCTGTAAAATCCTATATACTGGCTTTTTTCAAAAACTTGTGAATTTTTCAGGGAAAAAAAAAATCAGTAACGAAGGGCCTTACATATAACATAAGGTAGGAGCTTAGGATGAAAGTCACACTAGAATTATGTTTTTACTGGCTATTTAGCACTGAATAATGTAAATAACAATGAAACATATATGAAAAAATATAAAGACTAAAGCCTCAATCCCACAAGTTGTTCCATGACGACTTCAGTGGAACTCCATGCAGGTACTGGAGGGCCACTGTTGTATAACAATCAACAGGTTTGGGATCAGACAGGATGGCATGGTTAGAAAGACATTCTGCTGAATATAATTTAGTCTGATCTATTGATAACAAGGAATCTACTCTTTACATTACTACTGTAGATATAATTAATTATTTCTTAATGAAAGTGTGTAAATCATCTTGCCTCTCAACATGAACTGTAATTGTAGCCATGTCAGTCCCAGGGTATTAGAGACACAAGGTGGGTGAGGTAATATCTTTTATTAGACAACTTCTGTTGGTGAGAGAGGAAGCTCATCTCTCTTGCCAACAGAAGTTGGTACAATAAGAGAAATTACTTCACCCACCTTGTTTCTCAACATGAAGACAAGAGAAAAAGCAGCTCTTGTTTAAAATCAACACAAATATGCCTCAGCACATGAATTTAAAAACATATAGCAGAGTGGTGTTGCCGACAGCTTTCTTTTCCTAATCACATTCTCAATGAATTTACACAAGGCCCATTTATACAACTGCATCTGTTCCACTTTCTACATTCAACAAACAAACTCAATGTTGACAGAGCTATTCGACTTAGTTGAAAATTAGTTATTTCATTGTGAAGGGGTGTATCAGCACTGCACTAGTGCAGCAGGGGTTAATCCTTCTCTCTGGGCCGAGGAGGCCATGCCCACTTGGCTCTACTGGGCATGCTCCAGCTGGAGATAGGATATAAAAGGCAGCAGAGCAGCCCACTCTGGGCTGACCGCTAGTGAGGAAGGAGGTGTACTGCCTGCACTTCAGGACGTGGAGGCCAGCTAGCCAGATGGAGATGGACCCCAAAACATAGGCTCGGGATGCTGCAGAGAAGGGAGAGACCGTGGAAACCTGGAAAAATTAAATTGCAGAGAATCGGGTAGGAAGAAACCTAAGGCAACTTTGTGGGAAAGAGGTTGTAGAACTGTAGACAGGCTTGGCATATTTTGGTAGAATCCCTGCTGAGCTGGTGGTGGACAACCCAGCCACCGACAGGGCCCTGAGCTGGGACCTGGTGTGGAGGGTGGGCCTGGGTCCCCTTATCCTGGCCACTGCCCATCCTGGGGTGGTGGCCCAGCTCAGCAGCACTATTGACGCTGGCCAGCTAGGTTGCACTGCCCAGCTAGCCAGGGCCAGGCTTCTGACTAAGACCACAGGGTCGCACAGCCCCGAGACCAGGGGCAGCCCTACAGACTCAACTGTGGGGCTGTAATGCATCTGTCCCCCCTCCCCCAAAGGGTGATGGGGTATATCAGCCTCATGACTCTCATTTTTAGATTGCACGTACAGAGGTAACTTTTAAAATGTCTCTACTGTTAACTGAGGGTGGAAAGAGCAGAAGGAAACAGTATAGCAGGGCTTGAAGAATCCACTTCCAATTTGGCAAGAAGGCCTAAACCCATCAATTTCCATAGAATTCAAGCTTTTTTTAAAAAGAAATATTTATCAATCATGATTGTAAAGAAAGCCTTACAAATCTGAGTTTGTGGACAGTCAGTTTCATTGCCTGTGGTGCTCACAGTACTCCTTTACAGTAGCAGTGAAATTAAGACTGATTAGTTTCATTGCTACTATGTAGATTTAGACAACAATGTTAAATTTCAGTAGCAACAGAGACAGGCACGTGAACTATTTGTGGGGAAGGAGCACCCAAAAAGTAGAGACTGGCAGTGAGATACAGCAATGAGGAGTAGGAAGGTATCTTCCTAGGCACTTGTCTTCCTCCTGACTCCAATGCAAAGGTTCCAGAGAAATGAAAATATCCATCCATTTGCTTCTGCGCTCTTTTAAATGGGACCATGAAGGGGTCCTGAGGGAGGGGAAACACCTGACCACTGGTCCCCTCTTAGGTTTCAACGCAAGAATCCATGGGAGCGGTAATACTCTCCTACCCACACACTCTTGCTCTCTTCCCTGGCACCTATGAGATCTATATATTTTCAGGACAATTCTTTTAAATGTATTAATTGGAAATAGATTACAAGTTTACTTAATTAAATGAAAAATTAACATAGAAGAATATATCTAATCTCTGAAAGATTAGAATCTTTGTTTCATCGTTACTGTTGCATACATGTGTTTGGAGTACCTAAGGAAAAGCATACAGGTAACCCCCCCCCCAAAAAAAAGTATGAATCTTCATGCTAGTATGCAAAATTAGAAGTGAATCTAACCAACAAAGAAGTGAAAGTGACTATATACAACATGCTGTTAAAAAGCCACAAAAAGGGGGGGAAATCCTGTAATCTTTCAATTACAGTAATCTTAGTTGTACCATGCATCTGAAGTGGGGTTTTTACCCATGAAAGGTTACGCTCAAATAAATCTGTTAGTCTTTAAGGTGCCACTGGACTCCTTGTTGTTTTCATGTAACAAAAATAAATCTAAAATTTGCTGTTAAAAATGTGATTTGAGATGACACACTGCAGATTCACTCAAATCTGGTCCACACACAGTTTATGTATCAGTATACCTATTTGTCAGGAGTGTGGGGTTTTTGTTTGTTGTTTTTTAAATCAAAATTATATTGGTACTTTCCCTAGTGGGCACAGTTATACCAATATCAAAGTGCTTATATCCTTTCCTGTATGAGAATAAGCTAGACCAATATAAGCACTTTTATATTTGGGGAGTAGTATCACTTTACTATATGAACAGAGAATTTATGCAACCCTTTACAGTACCTGTCACTTAACAGTGTTACATTTTACATCTTCAAAGCATTGTACAGGATTTATTAATCCAAAGTACCCTTAAAAGGTAAATAAGTAATAACTTACCTCTACTGTCACACATTTCAATTTATAACCACACATGCACTTGTGACATCCATGAATTAGAACATCCAGACATTCACGATAACAAAAGAAGTCAGCGAGTCCATCCATATGCTAACAGAGATGGAAGGAAAAGGAGCCAGTCACTCAACTTTGAAGGTATAACACCAATCAAGATGGGACTCAAGAGCCTGTTGTGATGTTCTTACTCCATGCTCAATATAGTAGTTGTGTAGTTCTTACTACATGCTCAATGGCCTATGCTTTGGATCCTAGTAAGCTGTCCCTGTGAACAAAATACATGGGCTGAAATGGACTTAAGACATCCACTGACCAGGCAAGCATTTTCACCATGCTACTTAAAGAGTTTAACATCAACAAGTTAAAAGAAAAGTAGTACTTGTGGCACCTTAGAGACGAACAAATTTATTTGAACATAAGCATCCGATGAAGTGAGCTGTAGCTCACGAAAGCTTATGCTCAAATAAATTTATTCATCTCTGAGGTGCCACAAGTACTCCTTTTATTTTTGCGAATACAGACTAACACGGCTGCTACTCTGAAACCTATTAATAAGTTAAATCATCTTACCAATGAACAACAATGTTCACGTCAATCATCTATTTTATCACCTTTTCCTATATGCCCTGGTATTTGGTATCATAGCATTTACTAAAAACCTGTACTCTTGTTTTTTTTTTCTTACGCAATATCTTTCAATCATCTTTTAATATATACTCAAGCTCCCACTTGTTAACAAACAACAGAGGAAATAACTCATGTTATCCAACAGAGTATATACACCTCTTCCGGACAGACCATCAGACAAACAGGCAAATCAAACTGGGAATTAAACATATAAAAATTTTCCAATTCACCTCTAATTGTTCTTACAAACCATATACCAGGTTTTAACTAGATTTTAACATAAAATAAAGACTACAGTGAACAAATGGCAAATAGAGACATTGAAGAAAACCAAATAAAAAGATAGACACATAATCTCTTCATATTAACCAATACTTACCTAGTCTTTGCCCTCCATTAAAATTTAATTGAGGTAGCGTGATCAGTTTCAAAATAAAAAATGCTGATAGTATTAAAATCTGGTGAAAATAAATACAGCCTGTGTCAAAATGGTATTTAAAATTTGAAGGGAAATCAATATAACAGATCTGGAAATATCTCCCTTACTATACACACATTCGGGGGTCAAGTCTTGCACTCCTTGTGCACTCACAACTCCAAGTGCACAAATAATGCAGGATGGGGACCTTTTATTAAATTATTTCAGTATTTCCCCCAGTTAAGAACCCATTCCCACGCTTCTTCCCACTCCTCTCCATGACGCTTTATCACAAAATCAGACGTGTTTAGGAAGTAACAAAATGTTCATTGACAGCATAACACCTCCTCAGTCCTCACCCCAATCCTCCAAAGTACATCGTGATTTCATTTACATCTAAATGGAGAGGTTCTGCATAAGTCCCAAATATCTGTCACTTTATTGCAAAAGGGAGAGGGGGAGGGGAAGATAACATATTCCCTGCTACGAGTGTGTTTCAGAGAATATTAAAACACTTCTGGAACTGGAGAATTTACGGGGCAGTTTCCTGCGGCTCCTATGGGACCGGGGAGTGGTTGGAATGGGTTGATAAGGAGGGGACAGTTCAAGGGGCAGCGTTTGCAAACCCCCCCCCCCCGCCCGTGCGGGGGTATGGCTGGCGCTGGTCAGTTGAAGCCCCCCGTTCCCTTGCCCCGCAGCGGATCCCCCTGGGTGGGAGGGGGCGGCATGAGGACGGGGAGGGAGACTGCTCCGGACACGGTCGCTCCCCGCTGTGGTCGGGGGGGGGGGGGGGGGGGGCTGGACCCAGGGCAGCTCCCCGCTCGTGGGGGGAGGGAGCGCGGGGGACAGACACCCCCCTCCCTGCTCCTTGCCTGGACTTCACCCGCTTCGCACCGACCGGGGGCTGCGGCTGCCCCACTCCAGCCGGTGCCTCCGGGGGCAGGCTCTACAGCCAAATATCGCGAGATGAGAAAGCGGCTCTACGGGATTTTCTCTTAAAGGTGCCGCAGCCTCGGTGGAAGGGCTGTTGGCTTCAGGCGCCGATAACGTGATGTTTTCAATTCTCGCGCTATGCGCCCGGCTCTCCCTGGAAAGGTGGGGCGCGTCGTTCTTCCGACGTAGGGTCGGGCTGCGTCCAGTCCGTCCGTGCGCCGCTGCAGCCGGCCCAGCGACCCCGTCCAGGGGCTGTTACTGACCCGTTACTAAGCGGCTCCTGCCCTGAGCAGCCAGGCGGACTCGGGCAGGGAGTAGCCCCAGGCACCGTCACAGCCAGCGCTTTGCTGGAGCGGGCCTGCCTAAATGTCAGGGTAGAGGCTAAAACGATAGTGCTGTACAAATGTTTTCACTCAGGTATTCCCCTTTGGTATTCCCCTTTTGTTCTAATGGGCTCCTCGGCACTATGGTAATGCAAATTAATAAGAAGTGACTTGCCTAATGACACAAAGCGGGTAAGCAGCAGAGGCAGCAACAGAACAGAGGTGAAATCCTGGCTGCACTAAAGTCAGTGGCAAAAATCTCATTGACTTCAATGGGATCAGGATTTCACCCCAGGTCTCCTAACTCCTATTCCAGTGAGCTGATCACTGGATGATTCTTACTTCAATCTCCTTGGCATGGAAATTACACCATTTTAGACTCTCTTACTATTGCTACAATACGTAAGAAAGTCTGAGTGTAGGGCGGGCTGATTTATACCATTTTACACATACCTCTGAATTTGGTCCTAAAAATCTTCAATAAAATCCTAAAAGATAACTCTGGAAAAAAAACCCCAATACCTCTTCCTCCAATTTTTACAGTGATAAATGAAAGTGACAGAGTTCCACGCACCCAAAAATCTCCAAACCCTCAAAAAAAACAAATCTCAAACCCATATCCAGGGAACAGAGAATTAAGCAAATGACTATCTTTGTTCCATCCACAAAACATGGCTGAGTTTATTAACTAAAATAATCAGTTTCTTTCAAGAAAACTTTATAATTACAAGATAATACAATAGAATGTCCTTTACCTGCTTAAATTAGTAAACTACATATATTAGACTGTCTACATTTCCTCCTGCCACATCCTGACCTGGTTATTGACTCATGTGATCTTGCTGGCTTTAGTTTCTGAAAAATAGAGAATGTTGTTATACACTGCTTTCTGTGGACTGCAACTCTTTCATTGACATCTCTATGTGTCTTACACTTCTGTAAGTTAGAATCAGTTTGAGAAATAACACTGTCAACCTACTTGATGTCTCTTTTCTCCTGCACATGAATAACTGAAACCAGCTAAGTATATGTAACCCTTCTGCCCATCAGAGTTGGCAGCAACAAGGGCCGGGTTCAATATCTAGGGGTTCCATTCCAATAACACAATGCAAACCGGCTCGAGCCCCCACCCAGTGACCTGGGACAAATATATACCACCCCCGCTGGGCGCCTCCAAGAGGCAATACTTCCCCTCTCGCAAGCACATAGTCTGAGTGTAGCAAAAGCCTTTTAATAACAGAGAGAAACAATGTGGCATTATGTTGGGGAAACACCACCAACAGGATTCATAACACAACCCATGAGCAAAAAAAGAACCCACCCCAGGCAAATTGGGGCATGCCCTTTTCCCTTTGGTTCTTGAGTCCAGCAACCCCAAATCACCCAAAGTCCCAAAAGTCCAATGCCCCAAAAGTCTCTGTCCCTGGTCAGGGCAGCCCCAGAGTTCGAAAGTTTATCTGCGGAGCTTTACCTCCCAACCTGGGTGGAAATGGGACGGGGGGTAAGAGGCACCTTACGTGATCTGAAGCTGACCGCCCCATAGCTCCATAGCGGCACTCCGCTCCGCCAGCCGCCCCACAAACTCCTTCGCTCAGCTGCACTCCGCTCCGCCAGCCGCCCCACGAACTCCTTCACTCCGCTCTGCTCCGCTCCGCCAGCCGCCCCACGAACTCCTTCACTCAGCTGCGCTCTGCTCCGCCAGCCGCCCCACGAACTCCTTCGCTCAGCTCCACGGCCCACAAGCCGCTCCTGCCATCCACACGCTGCTCCGCGTCGAACTGCTTCACCAGCCGTCCCACAAACTGCTCCACAATATATCTTCAGGCTCCCCCACTACTTAACACAACACTCAGTGATTTCAGCTCTTAGGTGAATTCAGCTTGTAGTAGGGGAGCCCCAGTGCTGGTGCACTGTCAGCCCAAAGTGAGCTCAGCAGCCTATAACTAGACTTCTAATGAAATCAAAATTAGCTCTGATATTCCACAGTGGAGAGAGGAGGAAGTGCAATTAGCATGTAAGGCCCTCACCAAGGGGCCCATGCCACCAAGTATTAATACTTGTCCCCAGCCTCTCTCCATTCACACAGTTTTGGAACCCATGACCCTTGCCTAGCGAGTGCTACTTAGTTGATGGTGAATCCCTCCATCATAACAAAAGGCCACGTACAGTTCCAAGCACAGTTCCCATAATCAGGGTAATAACAATTTATTCTTCCTGCCCCAATAACAGAGACACTGGGGATCCCACAGCAGCCAAAGTGACCATTTGGGCAGCTATGGTCTCATTCTAGGCGGGGTGGGTGTGCCTATGCAAATGAGATCGGCCCCTGAAGTTCTTTTCCACAATTTGCCACACCTCACCACCAGATGTCAGGGTGGAGCTCATCCTGACACTGCTTACATATATACAATATTATTCCCTTGAAATAATGTCTATGGGCCCAAAATAAATTAACCTTGGTTCTGTATTTGGCAATAAGATCAGACTTCTCCCTTCTCCCCCACATACTTTTTAGGGATCCTAGTGATAAGTATCCACTTAAATGTTAGCGTTGACTCAGAAAAAGTCTTCCTTTTTAATTTATTGGGCAGTGTTGCTTGCCAGTTCTTTTGGCCCATATTCTCTGTTAAGCTTCCAATTTACCCAATTATTCTTTTTTTTCCTTCTTCTTCTACATCAATCCTTACTCCAGCCTGAAATACAGGAGGTCATTTGGGAATGGGGCAGAAGATAGCTGGTATGGTAGCTGGCTGTATAGTAATTGCACTTCCTCCCAATGCAACTGCCATTTGTAGAAGAATCAATAGTGAAAAGGGGATTTAAAAGCATATTTAAGAAAACATTAAGGAACTAAACAAGCAATTAAAATAATTACTTCATGGAATTTGAAATGCAGGTCTACTGTACTGGGCTAGTGAGAGTGGCCTCATAGGATCATTATAGTATTATGCAGAGGAAAGGTGGCATTACTGTAAGTCTCATCCAATATTACATGGGAAAAAATCCAGCTTTGTGAAGCAAGTCTAGTGTAACACAGCCCATATTTCCAATAAGCTTCTGTTTATCCCCAATTAGAAGACTTCAGTGAACACAGTAGCACATCACTAATTCTCAACTCAATAACTGGCACACTTGCTTGCTTTAAAAAAAAAAAGAAACAAAAACATCCAAACAGACACCTGAAACACTTGCCTCATTTCTCAGCAAAGACTCATGTTCCTAGAACTTTATTACTTTGACTAAATATATTACAGCACTTTAGTAATATACTCATGTATTATAAATAATGAAAATCACACTTGTCAAAATGTTGGCAGCGATTGTTTAAAAATTACATGTAATATGGTACAAATAACTTTTATTGTTTTAAAATATACAATCAATCATACATTTAAATACATTCATTCAAAAGGAACATGACAGGAAACATACCCTTATAAAACCTGAGCTGAAAACAGGACAGCATTTCAGATACAAAATTGACAGAATAAAACACTCCAGTGTCTCAAACCTAGCCTTGGATAAATGAATATCTGTCACCCTCATAGTATCTTAGAAAATCAGCTACAGTATAGGCAGTACTTCTTCCAAGGATGCTTTCACATTGGATCATACTTGAAGACAAGATGCATTTATATCAAAAAGTTTACTTAACCAGGATTTTTCCAGGTTTGATTTTTATGGAGATATTTGTGTTTTAATAAGAACTCTGTCACAGCACAGCTGCTCTTGTACTTGACACTGTGGTGAATTCACTTTCTGCATAGATCACACCATATCTCTGGGATGTCACAAATTCAGCCTGGTGACTTCACTATAGAATCAAATAAGAGAAGGGCACTGTGCTAAAGCTATTGCTTAAACACACTAACTTTGTTAATAAGCAAACAGGGGGGCCGATCCTGTAAGTACTCCAAAGGCCTGAGCCTGCTTCCATTTAAGTCAATGAAAAAACTGTCATTGTCTTAAAGAGGAGCAGAATTAGGGCCCAAATACAGAACTCCCATTGAAATCATTGGGATCAATTCTCCTTTACATTCACCCCCTCTCTTTTCCAGTGCCCCCTTGCATTATGGTGGACGGCATAGGAGCTGGCTCTGCCAGATTTATTTCATGAAGGCGTTCCTCTCTGCCAGAGAAATTCTCTGTTGGCCATTTACAACCACGACCTGTCCCCTGTACCACCTGAATGATGCAAAAGGGCTGGAGCACAATAGAGACTCTGGCCCACTGAGAATAGGAATTTGCAATGCAAACCCCTTTTAGGATCGGGCCCATAATGAAAATATTTTGAAAAGCCAATGAGTGGATTTCCATTTGTTTGTACCTTTAAGTTTTTCCTCTTTCAGGAAATCTGCTCTTTTCAGCTCAAGCTAGAAATTATTTGCTATGCTGCCTAAAATATCTCATACAGTATTTGCTGCGTGGAAAATGTTGTAAAAGGACTTCCAGTTTTCAGTTAATAGTTCTTCAGCACTCAAATATTTATCCAAATTC